CTGTGTGCTCTGTGTCACTGCTCACTGGTAGTGAGTAGAGGATTTTATATGTCCATTATGTACAGGGATTTTTCAAGGATCCAACCACCCCAAGATTGCTGTGTCTACCATGGAATAGAAAGCAGAGCGGCATTCATAGCCGATATACCCCCGAATGAATGCTCGCATGAAGCTTCTCCCTGTTGAACCACCCTTTCCACCTCAAACCGTGCGTCCACATGATTGCGTGTGTGTGTGTTAGGGAGTGGAAAGGAAAGCGGGAAAATAGACATCCACTGGCGGCTTTCGTTATTGATTTTTTCCTTGTACCGGGACTCTTTTCGTCTTCAATGATCCCAATATGATTCCCTATTCTGAGCAGGTTCGGCCTTAGGCATGCGCCACATGTGCCCCCACACAGGGCGCAAATTCACCAGGGGCGCAAAAACGTGCGAGAATGAATGGAACAATAATGGATGTCACCCACAGTTTTACTTCAGAAAGTTGAAGTGCATTCCGTTTCGGCATCTTTTTGGATGCTAGGGATTGACTATTCTTCCTTCGGGTGGAGGAGGGCTTTAGGAGTCTTTGTGCACAGGGCACCGAAATATCTAGGGCCGATCCTGATTCTGAGTATCCTTTCGTCTCGTCGTAGCGATTTTCGAATCAATTCCCTTTCTGCTAAAGACAATCTTGAAAGCATGGAATAAGAAAACATGTCATACGCCACGATCGTTTATTTTTGGGACCCTGAAATGCAAAAGGCAAGCAAAGAAGTTACACACGGTATGATACACTGACCGTTTCATTAGCATCAAAGCAAAATTTTCCATATCCTCACATCGCGCGTGAGAAAAAAGGAGATTACTAATTACTGCAAGAGCGATCGCGCGTGTTTTAGGAAAGCCACCTTGCAAGTACTCGTCCATCTCACAAATTCTCCGTGGAGACGTAAGGAAATATTGCAGCAGATTGATTAGGCCCATGCACACCCTTCGTCTTCATACATAACTAGTTTATTCATACTCATTTATATGCCTCAAGGAAGGGAAAGTACTAATCCAAGGACTCTACTTCCGTAACCGTTCCATCTAAACTGCTGTCATTTCAATTGCCTTCAGGTCTCTGCAAGTACAGTATAGAAAGCCATCCAACTCAAAATTACAATTTTTCGTCGATTCTAGCTTTAGGTTCGCTTTTCTAGGGGACTATCCATAAATTAATAAAATTCTGAAGCCCTAAAAAATCATAATGAATAACGCAAGTCAGTATAATCCCAATAATGGATGTAAGGAAGGTGTCAAGTAGGAACATGAAGCAGAAATCCATTTATATTATGTGGAAAGTGATGCTGATGAGGAAAAGCGAAGCTTGCATAATGCGTCACGCCCACCAAGCAAGCGATATGCCTTCGCATGTGAAAGGAGCGTGAGAGGTCGGTGTCCAATATGGACACAAATTCTATTACATTTGCATCGTACCTATACATTGTTCATGAGTCCAAAACCATAGGATACTCCGCAAATTTATGAAATGTCAAATTTTCACCCATGGCAGTCTTGAGAAATATCACTGGACATTCTTCGAAGTTTTGGGGTCGATTCGTAAAGGAAGCTGCATAGGTGCATCGAACACGAAGTGGCAATATTAAACTAATGAGAATATGTGAAATTCTCATGGTTCCAGAATCGCCCTGTATTTCTGACGGTCGTGACACTCAACTTTCTGAGATGGATATGGCTATAATTTTGAAATACTTCTTTAGTGCTCTAATCAGACCTTCAATTATGAACTCATGCACGCATCACAGCAAATGTGCTCCTAGCGACATGAAATGCACAATCAATATGAATATTTCAACTAAATTCAGATAGACTCTTTTCCGGGATCGAGTTAAGGAAATAAAATCACATGTTAGAAAGACGTGAGATGCATGTGGAGCCTCTGTCACATGGCTGAAAACAATAATTTATTATCTATTTGAAGAAATTGACCAGATGCTTCAAAATCGAATTTTAGGGGGGTGATTTCATTTTTCAGGGTGGCAGGATGAGATTCGGAGGAAGTATGAGAATAAGCCAAAAGGCAGTAACAAAACTGGAGGGCGTTGATAAAAGTCCAGTGAAAATTTAACTAGAAAATTTTACTTGGAACTCTCCAGAAAGCTCATTCCCTGAGGCTTAAATTTAATCATAATGCGATACGTGCTAGCCTACAATTTCCATTAAATAGCCTTAAGCAAACTTCATAGATCGTATAGATCCTAGAAACGATATACTCTAATTAGCTTATAGCTATAATGGAAAACAAAATTTTACGTATTTACTCACCTTATGAACATTTCCGTGGCGTGTCCACTATCACACAGCACAGGGTCAGAAGGGAATGATACTGAGGTGAGGAGAATAACGAGAGAAAAACTTGGGGTTTGGGGGCAGGTCATTCCACAAAGGTCGAAGACTCACCCAGGTACGGGATAAAAATAAGTTGGCTGAGGATTAAAAGGGCGGATACTTGAAACCACACATCAAAGACCACCAAAGTGAAGGATTGATGTCGGGGAAGGAAAAAGAAATGCCGCTTTGGAATGTCATACCTACATCCTTGCGAATGAGACGAAATTCAAGAAAGATAGGTGACGCACTATAATTAGAGTAAATTGCAGGGGAATCAAATTCCATATCACCCGTAATCAATTTCGCTGAATCCAAACCATGTTCCAGACGTGTCAGAAGAATTACTCTGCGATTTTTCACCAGAGACACCTGTTCGAATTCACCAATGAAAGCACGGTCAGGTAGAGGCAGGCGGTGGATATCCTACAGGGAACACTCCACTTGAATGAACTTTCCGATGGAACTTTCGCACTGATCAGGAACGTGAAACGAGAGGCACGAGTGAGCGTGGGGAGAAAAGTGGGTGCTTCGAGCATAGATACACTCGAGAGACCCTTTGCTGTCGACATGGCAAAAAAAACGGTGATTTTGCCCCAGAGACACCCAATCGGCAGCGCCGATGAAAGCTAGATAAGATGGAGGCGGGCGGTGGAAGTCTTTCAGGGAACGCTCGGCTCGAATGAACTTTCCGTTGGAACCTTCGCACAGATCGAGAACGTGAATGCGTCCATGCTTTCCAGAGAACCATTTCTGTCGACGAGTAAAAAAATATGCTGTGATTTTGCCCCAGAGATACCCAATCGGCAGCGCCGATGAAAGCTAGCTAATATGGAGGTGGGCGGTAGAAGTCTTTCAGGGAACGCTCGGTTTGAATGAACTTTGCAATAGAACCTGACCTTACATTGCAAGCATGAATGTGTCCATGGAGTCCAGAAAACCACCTCTATCGACCTATCAGAGAACATTTTAAGATTTCCATGTTGATAGCGTATCAGGGAAGCATTCATACCCGAGCGTACAGGAGGGAGGAGGGGGGTGGAGAACAGTCGGAAACGAGAGACATCACGAGTGAGCAGGGAGAGAAAAGTTCGTGCTTTGGGCATCGATACACTCGAGAGACCCTTTGCTGTCGACGTTGCAAAAAATATGTGGTGATTTTTCAGCAGAGATACCTGATCTGCCGCGCCGATGAAAGCCTAGCTCCGGTGGGGGCGCGCGGTGGGGATCCTGCCAAAAACGCTTGGCTTGAAAGAATTTTCCGAAGAAACTAGAGCGTAGATCACAAAGATGAATGCATCCACGCACTCCAGGCACTCATATCTATCGATCTATCAGAAGAAATTTCACGAGTTACGTCTGAAATGCGATTTCGGACGTTTGTCCAGCTTTTGTCAATGAAATGGAGAAGTTGAGGAAATATTGGAATTTGTCATTCAGAAAAGGTAACTACCTCTTCTAACTAATAATTTTTTGGATGAAATACTTGGAATTGTAACTAGTTACTTCTCACAAAGCGCCCAACACTGCCAGCGACGATTCAGAACTAGTCTCACTAGCCCATGCCCGGTAGAATTTGGTATGTCAGAATTAATTGAAACTTGTGATTCGCTTACTTCTACTTCTCACAACTTTCCCTTCTCTGTACGAGGTGTTCCTGCCGGAGTCCTGAGTTTACCAATACGGAATGGCCCTGTGAAGTTGAAGTTGTCTTCATTGTTTCCGTGATCAGTTTCTCATGAGTTTTAACGGAAGCATGGATGCTAAATATGGTATCATAGGGAATTTGTAGTTTTTGTGACCCTAAGTTAATATCGATCGTCATAACGGCAGCTAATCGGAGCAACCTACACTCTTAGAAAAAGGGGAGCGATTTTTCCCAAAAAAGAGAGTAAAATAGCTAACTCCAGTTTCACCCCCCTTTCACTCTGGGAAAGGATCGAATTTACTCCACTACCAAGGAGTAAAATTGCTCTCCTCCTCCGTAAATAAAAACGCTCCAATCATAATGTGATAGGGATGTCATGCAAATACGAAAGTTCCCGTGTACCGTTTATTTCTCGTACAGGCGTTGACCTGCCTCTGCCTATACTGAATACAGCACACGTCAGAGGGTGGACCACCTCTTATAGGTTCCGTAGTGTCCGAGATATCAGTACTTTATTACCTCATTTACTTGAGGTGTGATTGAACGAAGTTCACGGACACTCTCTGTATATTCTAGATCTCCTATACGTATTAAACCTTATGCGTTCCAAAAGGGTTCTCAATAGGAATATGAGCTTGTTTATGGCCTGGACTCCATGAATATTTCTTGAATATGTGAACAACAAATGATGAAGTGTCCGTGTTTGTTTATTCCTATAATGAGACTAGGAGAGACATACGTGCGAGGTACTAAGCAATCCTGCGAGTGACGATTCCAGGGAAAGAGGGAAGGGAACTTTTGTATACTGTGCGAAAAGCGAGATCCTTACCTCCATCTAGTGGCCAGGAGAAGAACTTCAAGGTGTTCACTTCAATACGAGCGATGATGGAGCATTTGGTGAGTAATAAGAGTAAATTCGAAAAGCTCAGGGTGTGCTCACTTTTTACTCCCCAAACGCTCGGAATTTTCTAAGAGTGTAGATGAAAGTGAGGAAAACAGGAAATTGTAAACGCAGTCAGTATTTATTCAATATCAAAGAAGTAGAACCCATCCCAAGCAGCATGTTCACGTAAACAAGATATCAATTTTTTGCAAACAATGTAAATTTCTTCTGATAGATCGATAGATATGAGTGCCTGGAGTGCGTGGATGCATTCATCTTTGTGATCTACGCTCTAGTTTCTTCGGAAAATTCTTTCAAGCCAAGCGTTTTTGGCAGGATCCCNACGTTCCTATATTTACGTCACCAAGGTGTATGTGTATTTTACATCAACTAGACGTCACTCCATCTGACGTGAAGTACATGATATCAAGTTTATGAAAAATTAACACCACACCATCCATATGAATCATTAGCTGACCATCCTGCAGTTGCAGTACCAAGATTCCTCACTAGATAGAACCCTTGTTCCCTGCATCCTACAATAACTATTAAGTACTGGATTCCTGATATAGTATCAGGTTTTCTTACCATCCTTTTACTTTTTATTATGGAATCCATGAATATATATATGGAAAACATGAAATTATTATATATTTTTTTGTAATATATGACTCAGGGAATCATTAAATGCACTTGTTAAGCTTTTTATTACAGCAGTGCACGGGATTAGGGAAGAGTAGAATCCCAGCCCCCCCAAGTACTACAGTACATCTTCTCTATCCTAAAAGGAAGAGAGATCCTTTGAATATCTACTCCTTCTCCCGAGGTTCCAGTACGGGAGGAGGAAGCAGTAGGTCACTTTGGTACTCTTGAGTGCTGGTGAGGATGAGTACTCGTGTACTCGTCCAACCACCCCAGAGTTCTGACGAACGTAAAGGGATCGGAGATTCAGTATATCAATTCTCTTCAATGGTACTGAATGACGCATGAATTCCAGGGGGAAATTAACATAAATCTTACGTAAAATGAATGTAAACATGCTGTTTGGAATGCAAACGGGAAAGTCAATTTCACGTAAAATTTACGTTAATTTTATATCACCGTTTACGTATCACAGAGGTGACATTTCTGCAAACATGTTGACATTTTCTTGACAATGGTTTGCGTAAAAATGATATAAAATGGACAAAAAATTTACATTCATTTTACGTAAAATTAACATAAACATGCTGCTTGGGATGATAAGCGAATCTTCGGCAAGGAAAAACCTTTTGAGCTCGAGGAAAAAAAATCGGCTGGTAGGGGGTCCAAAGAATAGTGTCATAAATCTCCTGGATAATCAGGGCAAGGCCAGATATGGAGCATACCATTGCTGGTATTTAAATCCGGTCAAAGACCCATTTCGCCCTGTACCCGAGAAGATTCAAGCCCGACACGGTAAGGGGCTCCCAGTCCTTGAATCGTTTTTCCTTGCTTACAACAGGGGTTATGGTGTAAGAACAGTGCAGAAATGATAGGAATTATAAGAAAGACAAATATTTTGCTGAACGGGATCTCTAAATAGCAGGTATGTCCTGCAACATGAATATTTTCGATTAATGCTATGTGATTTCCACCAGTCCTGATTTTGAGTTCTGTGGAAATTTCTTGTTAACCAATCTTCCATTCTTCTGCTGTATAATTTTTTTCTCCAGGCGTGGATTCAAGCACGGAGCTCATTAAAATGTGGGGCATTCCAAGTCTCTGAATCGTCGCACTAATCGCATCGACCGAATGCAGTTCTGAAAACGTAAGCGAAACGAAGTGCATCCAAGCACACTTCTCAATAAATTCTGAACGGAATTTCATCCAGGGCGGAAAAATGTCGCCGCTGCTGGAGTTTCGTTGAAGATCTATCAAAATTTGAAATATGCAACCGTGAAAACTTTCCTGTAAATATCAACTTCATGCATGCACCCTCCTAATTCCTTCGCGTTCATTTATATTTCATGTTGCATTAAATGACCTATGTTGCTTTTTCCTTAGGAAACCGCGCTTGATTCAGTCTCCGAACTGAAGTGCCTCGCCGAATTGGAGGAGATGATGTGGACCATGATGGCTAAATTTGAAGAGCTGGCAAAGGATACCACACAACTGAAACTCGACAACGAGCAGCTTAAGATCACCGCCGCGCAGCTGGAGCTCAATGTTGACAACCTTAAATCCCTTCTAGAGAATACGATGGAAGATAGGCTCCAATACCTGGAAGCCATCACTCGGCAAATAAGTGAGTTATTAGAACACATAGGCGATCAGACTTCTTTTGTTTCGCATCGTTGCAAGTTTGTGAGCGTCTACTAGAGAATACGATGGAAGATAGGCTCCAATACCTGGAAGCCATCACTCGGCAAATAAGTGAGTTATTAGAACACATAGGCGATCAGACTCCTTTTGTTTCGTATCGTTGCAAGTTTGTGAGCGTCTGTTCCATGTGTTGCAAGCCCCCCAGACGTGCGAAACTCTGGCCGCCCTAGGCGTGACGAGAACGGGAATCTACCTTGTCGACCCAGATGGAGTGCTTCGAGGCGATGCACCCATACGAGTGTTTTGTGACATGGAGACAGGTCAGGGGTGGAAATTAAATATCCAGGTCTTCCTAATTGAAGCTCAAAAGGCTGCAAACGTTGTACTTTGCGGCGACTTCCTTGGTTTATCCTTAGATCCGGCATGGTGGTAGCATGAAGTGCTAAGCTACCTTGTGTGCCTCCAACTGGCGACAGGCCTAGGGCCTACGATGTCAGCGTCATAGCAAATGCTACGCAGGTACTTCGTCTACGTCCGTAACTAGCTTGTTAGGGAGTCGTGCGAGCAACAAATAAGGGTGAGTCAGAACTGTCTGTGGAGGTCTTCGTGGATGCTTTATCCCTTCTTAAGTAACATTCCACGCATACCGAGGATATAATCCACCCATGCGGATTTGTTTGAAAAGAGGAAATTCCTCGTAGGTAGTGATGATACCTTCCACAAACTGCATTCTGTATGAAAAGCTGTTGCCAGGAGTTAATTTGTGTCGAAGGGAAATGGAGGAAGGGCGGGGTAGGACAGAGGCGGATTCAGAACTGGCACTTGTTCTACCATAAGTCATCAGCAAAACCTAAGTTACCTGGATTTATTAATTGAATGATTTTGATGCTTTACTTTGCATTAACCCTGGAACTCATTGCAGCTTTTTCGTCATTATGTTTGCATTTTTTTCTTTGATGAAAAAATTTTCATTTTATTTTAAATTGAGTGGCGGTTCGCGCCGTCGCAACCATGCAATACTTTTGTTTGCGTTTCGTGTCATGGCCAGTTTTTTTTTTAGTTTTCACGATCGATGAGGTCAAAAAGAATTACGTGACTCTTTGTTTCGTATGTCGCCCAAACGGGCCGCTCCTCTCGTCGACATAGACGGTGACGATCTTCGCAATGCACAGTGGGCCAGCGATGCGCAAAAATCATTTTCGTCCGCGGAATGAAAGTCAGAGATAACGACCGTCATTGGTGGAAAAACGATTTAAGAGGCAATGACTTATTTCAGTAATAGAAAGAGTTGTCGGTCCTCCCCTCCTCTACGCCCACTCGGGACAACGAGACCATCGTTGACGAGAGCTGGTGTCCTTTGCGGCTCTAGGCAAGGACACTTTCACTCCAATTTCTAACTACCACCCTAAGTTCACTAGAGGCATATTGTACTCCGTGTTGGAGATTTCACGGGAGCTCGCAAGCGACATATAGCAGCGGAGGCTGAAAGTATAGGTCAGGGATCAATCACCCCCCTTAATGATGATTATGATGGTTATAAAGCAGAAAAACTCCGGCAGACGAGCGTGTGGCATCCTCAATAGGACTAAAACAAAAGTGTTTATTTGGATGAGAACCCATTAGCTTCATCGATATGTACTGCCTTCTACCACAATTCGCATAACGCATTGGCTGCTTTGTTCTGACGATGGTGGTAACAATTGAGAGAAATTCACATTTATTTTTAATGGACACTCAAAGGAGGTCCCCGATGGTGATGCTTAGTTTTACCATGTGGAGAAAACGGGAAAGGACGTGGCAACCGACAAAATGCACGACGGAGATTTTATTGGAAGCACGAGAGAACAGGTAGCATGGACCTATTAAAACAATCACATTTTGTCAACATTAAAGAAATAAAGATCTTGTTTTATTAACAATCATGAACATGATAGATGATTAAGGGAGATAATGATGCGGTTTTTCCAATAGCAAAAAAAGAATAAGAAGCCTGAAATGTTAACTTTACTGTCTCCTTCCTTCCTTCTGAATTATGGCTGTGGGCATTACTTTCTGTCATCCATCGAGGTAAATCAAGTGATTCAGACATGGTAGAGGAAGGGGAAAGTTTTTTTAAAGCATGAATTTCCGTTTCAGAACGCACTGACTGATAATCGGGCATGCGTGCGTTGTAAAGGCAAAGTGCTGGTGGGTGGGATCGTCGGATAGCCGAGGACGTTGTGGGTGAAGACAAGACGCATTGCAGTACTGCTTTTGATGGCAACTGCGGAGGGAAGGATGTGTTGGGTTTGCGAAGATTGGCTAGAAGGGAAAGACTGGAATGATACCTTCATGGATGTGTTTCGCAAAGAGTACGTTCTCGACAGAAAATAGGAGCCATCTCGCATTGGTTGGTGGAACCTAACTGCCGACTTATTGATTCTCACCCTGATGCCATGGCAGAGTCCCTGGCTTTTTCACACTGTACCTGATCTCCAACGTGAATATTTCAGGCGATGTCTTTGGAGTTTCTGGATAAACCCGTTTGAAAAACGTAATCTGGTGGGAGACTTCAGGCACTACTGGTCCAGAGAGCAGAGGAAACATGCCATCATTTTCGAGCATGTTCCATGGCTCTTTTTTGGTCGCTGTTATTCATCTCTCATAAAGATGAAAACATATCAAGCTGTCCACATTAGGGTTTATCTGAGCACCATTAAAGGGAGTAATCATCTAAATAAATATGCAAAACAGGCATGTTCCCTGTGTCGCACAGGGTCAAACGCCGTAAAGTGGTCGGAAAGAGACCGGAAAACAGGTGGGAACTGATGTTTGCTTCATGTCAGAGATTCGGATTAGCAAATTCCCTTAATAAGATTAAGTAACATAAAGGTAGAAGTAATTAATACCGACGACGTGCAGTGGGCTGCAATGTCAAACCGGTTTAATTTCGAGCCACACGTCTGCGAGCATGACACTATTGCCGGTGATAATCGTCCGGCAATCTGTCATCATCTTACGCAGACGAGGATTCCGTGAGCATGCGCGACAATGTGCAAACGTGATTTGCAGGTGGGCGTCAAATTTGCATTTTCGACTCTCTTTTAACCAAGATGAATGAGTTTGGGGAGACGTTCGTGCAGTTCTACATGCGAGACACGAACTGTGGAAGCAGGAAGCGACGCAAATGAAAAGAAAAAATATCAAGTCAAGTTGGAGCCTTCCAGAAGGAACTTTCTGAAAGGCCTACCTTTGGAAGATGCTCTCCAGTCAGCTGTGACAAGAGTGGGTTACAGCCGGTATTCCAAGCTCTTTACAAATGTTGGGAGGAGTGTATTGTAAGTCAGGGGAACTATTAATATTTATTTTGATGGGGATCACCCCTAATGAAACCTAACTTCTGTACATAGCTTGCTCGCACAAAGGCCTCTCCTGGAACATTTTGATGGGCCCACATATTATTTAAGGAGAAAAAGGGAGAGGTGCATGCAAGACCTAATGAAAGTTTGTTGCAAATTATCACCTTTATAACCCTATAGCACTTATGTTGAGCCTCTAAATAGTAGGTTATCTTTTAAGTTTTAAAAATTTTCAAATGAAACATTTTCTCCCTTCTGCTTGATGGAAACTTGCGTTCCCTTTTCTCAAACTGTCCTTGCAGATGCTAATGTTGACGTTCAGGTTAAGGACTGGAAGCTTCTTGGGGTGTTTTCTCAAGATGCACGAAATGAAGAGTGGCTTTGGCATATCTTGAATTCTTGGCAGTGGATTCCACTTACAGCTTCAGCATACACACTCCTGTGTATGTACTCTTTGTGGAAGACTCAAATGGAGACAGTGAGATTGCTGGTGTGGGCTTCCTATCAACAGAGGATGAGAAGAATCTTGAATGGTTGTTCTGCATTCAGGACCAGGAATGCTTTAGCATCATAGTACAAGTCATCATGACAGACAAGGACCTGAAAGAGAGGAAGGTATTGAATAGACATTTCCCCAGTGCTCAGGTATTGATTTGTAGGTTTTATGCATTAAAATCCTTCAAGAGGGAAATAACTTGGGAAAATGTGGAATTTCACAAGAGAGAAATCTGAACAGCTAGAAAAACTTTCAGTTGAAGAGTATGACAAGATTTACACTGACCTATGCAACAAAACTCCTTGTGTCCTAAGTTATTTTGACAGAAACTGGCATCCCATCAAGCATGAGTGGGTCACTGGACTTGTGGAAGGAGCTTATTGAACTCCACAAATAGATTAGAGCTTTCATTTCTGGTTGACAGACTCCAACCACAAGGTTTAGCTTTATGGAGCAATTCCTTGAACAGTTGTATATTTAGCTTAATTGCATGAGGAATGAGAGAAATCATAAAGTGGCAGTCTCCATGCTGAAGGTACAGCCATTCAGCTTATTTAGCACATAAGAAATATCAGACTTTGCTTTCTCCTTACCCAGCAGCTCATGTTCTGGTCACTTGGACGCAAGATTATTTTCAGTTGAAGGTGGAACTCATTCTCCATGTCATTGCCTATTCTTAACGGCAATTAACATATCCATTAAGCCTGTTTTTAAAGTGAGAGTAGAAGGGATGAAGATTTGTATGATAAAGATCTCTGTGCTAGCAGGTGGCTGATTAGGCACTACTGGAAGACATCTCAACTGCACAGTAATCATACAGTGGCAATGTAAGCAGGTTGTTGACAATCTCAATTGCCCAGAAGAGAATTTTAAGCCACGATGAAAAGTTCTCAAAAGCTTGCATCATAGACAACCAGCATGCATCTTTGATAGCAGAAGCGTCACAGGTACGGTTTGAACCAAGGCTAAGCCTCATAAATCGTTTACTTGAGGTGTGGTCTGCTGACAAAGATGTTGATATCGTTGAACATCTTCATGAGGACTGAGGAAATACCCGATTCCACTACAATAAATTCCCTTCCAGGAAATCAGGTTCGTGCCAATTCAAATTCGAGTGGGAGTAACTCAGGCGTAATTCAAGACTCACGACCTTCGAAACGAATCCACTAACTATATCGTTTTCTCTGTATGTTTCTATAGAGAGAAAGGCGGCCAGTTTCAAA